CCTCCCCCCCCCAGTTTTAGTTGCTTCTGTTTTTACTTTTTCAACATTTTATTGTGAAAATTTTCAAATATTTAGAAACGTAGAGAAAAAAACTTATAGGGCTGGCTGGTTAGCTCAGTTAGTTAGAGCACAGTGTTGTAATGCCAAAGTCAAGGGTTCAGATCCCCCTACCAGCCGCCAGCCACAAAAATAAATAAATAAATAAACAAATAAATAAATAAATAAATAAAATCTTTTTAAAAAAATTACAATGAACAGTTCTGTACACACCCCCTAGATTCCACATTTAACATTTTACTGTACTTGCTTTACCACATATCCAACATCTATCCAGCCACCCATCCAGCCACACATCCAGCCATCTTATTTTTTGATGCATCTGAAAGCACGTCACAGACATCGCATACTTTTACTTTTACATTTTTAAGTTCATGGTTACATTTTTACCACCTACAGGGCTTCTGGTCAAGATGGCGCTATAGATGGTCCCCAGCATCACTCTCTCCCGCAAATCAACCAATTTACAACTATAAAAAAGCAACGACAGTCAAGCTGGGGCTACTAGAGCTCAGGGGAAGAGGAGGAGAGACCTACAGAGTGCATGAAGGCAGGAGAAGCCACGATGAGAGAAAGAAAGAACCGCTCTGACCATTTTGAGCCACGGCTGCTTCAAGGCTGGAGCTGGTGAGCACATGGAGCAGGAGCTGGCAAAAGCCTCTGCTGTTCCCTTGGGATGAAGTTGCTTGGAGGCAACAGGGCAGAAGAGGACCTTGGTGGCCCCCAGGCTAGCAAGACCACTAACAGGGTTCCCGTGGACCCACATAGGACTGAGGAGCCACAACAACTGAAAGAAAGGAGCCACTCAGAGGCCGGTGAGTCATCACAAGGGACCAGCACACAGCCCACACCATGAGAAGTGTTTGGAGCACAGGCAGTGGGGGAGACGGGCCCACAGGGAGAACAATGGGTCACAGCATGGACAACTGATCTGCCCTCCTGTCAGCACAGGACCACTCTGAAGATTGGTCAGGAATATAGAATTGCAGAGGGTGCAGTTTGCTGAAAAGACTCAGGCCCAGATCAGAGTTTCTACACAACCCAGGTGTACTGGATCTCATTAGAGCCAGAAGTACCTATAAAGTCAACCTTTAAAACCTGAGCTGCATAAAAAGCCTTCCCCAGGGAATCAGCAGCAAAGCAACAATTTAACTCAACCACAGAGCTCAAGTACTGGTTCCCACAGGAAGTTCCCCCATTTTAGAAGTAAGCAAAGGACAAAAAATTAGTTCCAGTGCAGAGTTTAAGTGGTAAGAACAGCAAATAATCCAACACAGAACTGGAAGAAAAAATACCCACAGAACAGAGACAAAGTTTGATATTAACTAGTAAAGGTCTCACATCACCATAAACACCTATAAAACCTAGGAGGATAGGAATTCTTCTAGGCTACCAAGCCAGGGAGGAGGGAGGGCCGGGGCCTCAATCATACCCCCAGACACCCAGCAATGACCACCGAGCCACTGCAGGAAGTGCCCGAGCTCCCCCAAGCCAGGGTGGTAGGGAGCTGAGGGCCTCAGCCACACCCCTCAACACCCACAACCATCCCAGTGACAACCACTGAGCTACTGCAGGAAGTGCCCAGGCTCCCTCAAGCCAGAGCGGTGGGAGGCCAAGGGCCTTGGCCACACACCCCTAACACCCTCAACCAGCCCAGCAATGACTACTGAGCCTCTGCAAAAAGCAACTGGGCTCTCCCAAGCCAGGGTGGTGGGATGCCAAGGGGCTCAGCCACACCCTCCCCCAATACCCACAACCAGTGCATGTGCCTGGGCTCTACTGAGCCAGGGTGGTGGGGGGCTGAGGGACTCAGCCATGCCCACCCCCAACACCCATAACCAGCCCAGTATTGACCACCAAGCCTAGGCAGGAATCACCCCAGGCTCTCCTGAGCCAGGGTGGTGGTGGGGCCAAGGGCTTTGGCCACACACCCCCAACACCCACAACCAGCCCAGTGATGACCACTGAGCCACCACAGGAAACGTCCCAGGTTCTCCCAAGCCTGGGCAGTGGGGGGCCAAGGGCCTCAGCCACACCCCTGACACCCACAACCAGCCCAGTGATGACCACTGAGCCACCACAAAAAGCGCCCAAGCTCTCCTGAGCCAGGGTGGTGGGGGGGGCCAAGGGCCTCTGCCACACACCCCCAACACCCACAACCAGCCCAGCAACAACAACCAAGTTGCCGCAAGAAGCACCCCGGGCTCCTGAGCTGGGGTGGTGGGGAGGTGAGGGCTTTAGCCACACCTCCCTGATATCTACACCCAGCCCAGCAATGACCAAGACATCACTGGAAGCCTCCTGGTCTCCCCTGCAGAAATGAGAGGGGGTGCCACAGGCCTCAACCCTGCCCCTCTTCTTCCCTCCTTCTCCCGTTCTATTTCCTTCCCCCTTCCCCTCTCCTGTTCCCCCCAACTGCTCCACAACAATATCATAGAATGTAAAAAAATAATATTAATAAACTTAAAAAAAATTACCATCTACATTCTGATCTATAACCATATCCAACTTTCCTATCTTGTCCACAGTTCAATTGTAAAATTGAAAATCAATAAGTAACATCTCCATTTTTGTGACAATTATCTGGTAAGGTTTGGTGATGCCTTCATATTTGAAAATGAGACAACAAAACATTGGCTGGGCACCCTGTATAAGTGGCAGTGCTTGCCAAGGTACCGGCTACACTGTGGGTGATCACTCAGGCAAGGAACTGGCAGGTCCCTATGGAATCTCCAAACACAAAACTCTGCGGTCTTTTCTGCATGCCCACCCTAGAGGAAATCTCAAGCTTTTGGTCTAGGGGTGGGACTGCTGGTGCCAAGTGGTCTGCCCACTGGAATCAAGGAAGAGATTGGGGGAAGAGGGTGCCTTGTTAATACAAAATATTTCCAGTTTTCCTTCTGTTTTTAGTACTGTGTTTCTGTTTGCACCTACCTGGAATTTCTGACCACCAAGCTTCAGAGTTCTTCAGGGCAGACTGGGCCACTCCTTGGCTGTTCACTAGGTGCTATGGATTGATGTTCCCCAAAAACTTAGTCCCCACTGTGACAGTGTAATGAGGATGGGAAATCCTATTATGGTAATTGAAAGGTGGGGCTTGAAGAGGTGACTAGATTGTAAGAGCATGCCATAGTGAATAGATTAATAATGGTGGTGAGGGGCGTGGTTCTGAGGGCTTAAAAAGGAGAGTGAATGAAGAACTATCTGTCTCTCTGCTCTGCCATTTTCTGCCATGTGAGACCCCTGCACTGCTGTAAAGTCACCACCAAAGAAGAACCTCACCAGATGTGTTCCCCGGACTTTGGATTTCCCAGCCTCTGAAACTATAAGCAGCAAATTTCATTTTCTTATAAATTACCTAATTCCAGGTATTTCGTTACAGGCAATGGAAACAGACTCACACACTGGGTTTTGGCTTGTTTCATCTTATTTCATCAGTCACCGCTGTTCTGTCTGCTTTATGTCTCCCATAAGTGTGGTGAGATCTCTCGTTCTTTTATTTTTTTTACATATTTATGGGGTACAGAGTAGACTATCAGTATTTGTGTACAGAATGTGATGATCAAATCAATATTATTAGCATGTTCATCACTACAAATCATAATTACTTTTTGTGCCCTTTACCCAGTTACTCCCTATTCATCCTCCGAGACCTCTCACTCTGTGAAAGCCTTCCCCTGCTCCCTCCATCACTGTAGGTTTCCACACTTTTAACTTTTTTCCTCTCACTTTAATGGGCTCTCAAGAGGGAGAGGTGCTACACATGTGGCCAATCCACCATCGTAAACATGGCATTCCTAATTCCTTTTATATGTTCCTTTTTATATTTAACTGAGGTTTGATCTAGATTTCTTTCTATAAGCTATATTTACCATAATTTATGACATTATCTATATATGGCATATATAGCTATGTGCTTACAAAGCTATCTTATGCTATAAAGTATACGACAGGCTTTATCTGTTTTTCTGACTAGCCAATTTCCTCAATACTGTATTAAATCATTCACACCTGCCCCACTGGCTTATGAAAATTCCTGGATCATGCATTAGGGTCAATTTCAGGACTATCTATCCTGCTCCAATAATTGATCTACAAATCACTTCCCAGCAACACATCATTTTGATCATTACCCTTTTTAAACACATTATAATTCTCAGTAAATCAAGTTCTGTCACATTACTCTTGCTTTCCAAAATTATTACTGTCCTTAGCCTTTTTCCCTCCAGATATACTTTCAGATCCGTTTTTCAAATTCCAAAAAAGAAATTCCATTGGAATTACAATTGAAATTATATTACACTTAAGTATAATTTATAGAAGAAATTATATCTCTACCATCTTTTCATCCAGAAAAGATACAACATGTCTTTTCCAAATATTAAAGACCTCTTTGAAATCCTTTGGGAAGACTTTTTTTTTTTTTTTTCCTTTTTTTGTCTTTTGTTCATATCCAGCAACGGATCACAACCCTCAGTGTAGTGCCCGTACCGGACCGGACCGGCAAGGAGGGATCGCAACCCCCGGTGTTGCACCCGCCCCTCGCTCAGCCAGTGAGCGGGAACCGGTCTGTATGTGGGATCCG